ACCTTTCCTGGAACTCACTTGGTAGCCCAGGCTGGCCTCGAACTCACAGAGATCCACCTGGCTCTGCCTCCCGAGTGCTGGGATTAAAGGCGTGCGCCACTACCGCCCGGCCTGATATTTCTATTTTAAATAACAAATTTTCACAATAAAAGATACCCACCTTACCTCATGATGTCATTGTTATTTCTTCCTAAATAGAAGGGAAAAGCACCAAAAAGAATGTACCATATAAATTTTAGCCACCCCAAAACTGATAGTGGCAGATGGGGGAAATCCTACCATCCCTCAAGCCCATGAAGAACTGGTATATTCCTTACTTTTCTGTTGCTGTGATAAACCACCATGAATGAAGCAATTTAAAGAAGAGTTAATTTTAGCTAATGGTTCTAGAGCAGGGCTGCAGGAACAAGAAGCTAAGAGTTCAACTTTTGGACTGAAAGCACAAACCAGAAATAATGAACTATAAGTAGGTTGAGGCCTTAAGCTCTCAAAGCTGGATCCCAGTGAAGTACTTTCTTCAACAAGGCTGCACCTCCTAAACCTCCCAAACAGCGCCACCAACTGGTGGCCAAGAGTTTAAACATCTAAGGCTATGGGGGACATTCTCAAACAAGTACACCTAGTTAAACAATGAACATGGTTCATTTAAAAGTGTCACAGGTGAAGTTTCTAGTGATGATATAAAGAGAAAAAACTGAAGCAGTGTGCAGGAGTTAAAGGAGGTTACAGCATGAAAAACAAATTTAGTATGCATCAGAGGAGAGGCACCATATGAGGACAAGGACCAGTTAGCAGCAGCATGAAGAACAGCTAATCTCTGCTATTAGAGTGTAAAGTTTGACAGTCAAGCTGGTGTAAAAACACCCCAAAACTAGAAAATTGGTTTAGAACCTGTAACCCTGTGGAACCTTGATAACCAAGCACAAAACTCGCACTTATGGTTTCTATTAACAGACATGAAGCTTAGGGAATATCAAACTGAATGATGATCACAAGGTATCAGCAAGAAGGGCAACATACCAATTAGGCTGACAAAGTATTCAAGTCCTCATGGGAAAAACTACAGATAAAGTAAAACATAAAAATAGAGCCAAGCATGACAGCGTACATCTTTAATCCAACAATTTAGGAGACAGAGGCAGGTGGATCTGTGAGTTCAAGGACAGTCTTGTCTATAAGCAAGTTCCAAGATTGGCAGGGCTACACAGAAAAACCTTGTCTCAAAAACCAAACAAAAATATAAAACTAGGGTTGGAGAGATGGCTCAGCAGTAAGAGCACATAATCTTACAGAGACCAGAGCTCACAAGTGGCTCTATAAGCTCTAGAGCAGTGGCTCTCAACATATGGGTCACAACCCTTTTGGGGACAAATGACCCTTTCACAGTGGTCACCTAAGACCATCAGAAAACACAGATATTTATATGACAATTCATAACAGTTGAAAAACTATAGTTCTGAAGTAGCAATGAAAAGAATTTTATGGTTGGGGTCAGCACGATATGAGGAACTGTATTAAAGGGTCATACATAGCATTAGGAAGGTTGAGGACCACTGCTCTAGAGGATCTGACACCCTCTCTCTACTAGACTCACCTGCACGCGCACACACACACACAACTTCCATGTATACACAATTAGAAATACATCTTAAAACAGGCATACATGGCTATCTGGCAGGCTATTGCTCACACAGAGGCCTTGGCTGTGGGAGCAGAGCCTAAGAGGATAAGTTCTCAATGTGAGGGTGGTCAGGTCAGCTATTTCTACCTTTCAGCCTCAAATCATCTCTAAAGTAGCACTGATGCTGGACTTGAACAACAGAGGGCAATGGAGGGCAACTGCAATAGCAAGCTTTTCTTCTGATGAGCAGTGTTCTTCAGCTGAATGGTTTATGGGCATAATTTACTGGTAGCCCATGCTTTCAGGTTCTGCCACCACAGCCATGGCCCTCTGTGTTAGCAACAGTCCGCTATCTTCAGTTTCTTAGCTAAGTGGATGGAGTAGTGCTGTAGCAGCTGCCCCTGAGGTCTGAGTCAACCCAGCAGAGGTGCTTAGTTATGTTGCTGAGCTCCTTGCTTGTCGGCTCTTCCTTAGCTCTGGAGGTAGTATCTGCTTTCTCAAGTTTTCAAGTTGCTCAGTACCCTTAAGAGTCTTCCTTCACCACTTCCCCTTTTAGTAGTCAAACACCTTTTACTAGTTAGCAATTCTTATATTAATTTTTCATGTACAATGTGACTTCTGTCTATTGGATAACAAAGTATATATTCAAAATTTTATGATGACCAACAAAATAAAGCAACCAAAACACAATTGAAATATGAAACTTCCAAATCAGTAGTGAAGAAGATTTTGTGAAGAAAAACTAACCACTTCCCAATAAGGAGAGAGGAATATGAAGAAAAACATAATAGAAAATATAAAGAGGATGGTCAAAAGATCTCATTTGTAACACAATAAAGCACACCCTTAAAATCTAGACTAGGAAACAATATTTGAAATAAAAGCACAGCTATATATGTTGCTTCAATAGGAACCACTTAAAACAAAGACAATAAAGCGATGTGCCCAAGAAAACTTTCTATTCTATTCTATTTATATGAACTGTAGCAGACAACATGTTAAGAAAAGGATGCTTCTCTTCAACCCCACATTGCAGCCTATGTTGTGAGGCAAAGAAGAAGTAACTGTGTAACACAAACCATTTTTATATTTAATGTTGGTAACTGAAAAATCACTAAAGTCTCCATTCACATTGTTATCCACAAAAATGGTGCTGCCTCAAGTTGCACATTATGTAGCCCAAGTAGTTACACACAACACCTTCCCTACAACTCAGACATTCTGGATGGGTGTGTGTGTGTGTGTGTGTGTGTGTGTGTGTGTGTGTGTGTGTGTGTGTATGTGTGTGTGTGTGTGTATACATATATGTATATATACATATATACACATGTAGTCTAGAAAATCAGCATACAAGTGCAGAGGATATCATGCATGTAAAATCTAAAATAATCCAAAGGTCTAGAATTCTAGAACTGACCAGAATGTTTTTAGCAAGATTGCTGAATACAAATATTTTTAAATCACCTGTAGCTCTCGGCAATTGAAAAATGAAATCAAAATTGAAAAGATAATTTCTAAGTGAGGGAAGGCAGAGCCAAGGGAGCTCTTATAGAGCTCAGGCTTGAGTGCTGGTCATGGAGGAGTTTCCACCCCTGTTAAGCATCCAAACATACATCTGTGACGTACAACCCACAAGAAGTCGCCTTGCAAAAAATAAGTACATCATGGCCTTTCATTCCGGACATGGACTCAGCAGAGGCTGCTTCTGATGGGATCCTCCCAGAGCACTCTGGCCATATGTACATGACCCCACAGGACCAAGTCATGGCCTCCAAGCAGTCAGGAACACACAGAGATGAGAATGCTGATCAGAGTGAGGCACATTCAGTACAAGTCAGTAGACCAAGAACTCTCAAGAGAATGAAGCTGGGTACCAAGTGGATAGGAACATTCTTTTCTTTCCATTCCATCTGCTTATAGATACCATGGAACCCCTGGAGGGCCTCATTCTGAGAAGGTGGCTCTTCTAGCAATGTTTGCCCTCATGTTGTTCAAGCCTTGTGGGAAGATGAAGAATTGGAAGGTACTTCCAAAATTCCCTAGAGATTTTTCACAGGTCTAGTAGAAAGGAAACTGCCTCCTAGAACAGTTACCACTTTCCAAACAACAAGGATACACAGAAGGATAGACAGACATCTCAGGTTCTCGTTTGACATCAGCTAGGCTGGAAACCAAATCAGGCAGCTAAGTGCAGAGGCCTGGGACTGTGGAGAGCAGAGGAACTGTGTCAGCTTGGACAGGCAGGCTTCTAGTGGCTGACTGAATATGTGAGACCTGTGACCATTTCATTTATACATGTACGATTCCAATTTCTAAGCAAAGACTTTTACTGTGAGGCAAGGCTACTCACCCATTTTCTTAGGATGTGGGTACTTTCCTGCTCCTGGCTCTCTTTTGGGGTTGTCTATAGTTCTGTTGGTAGTTTCAGGAGGGATAGATGACTAGTTAGGCTGGATTGCTTACCTCTGCTGAGTGACAGCAAGCTGTAAAGTTAGTTCAGTGGTGTTGGCTGGAGCTGCTTTTGGTCAGGTAGAAGACTCAACAGCAGGGTAACACACATAAGCTGGTGGGTGCTATTGCCAGCCCACTTGGAGAATAAATGGTTTGATTCTTGACCATGGCTGAGGTTCCTGAGGATGAACTAAACTCTTCCCATTTGCAGGAGATTGAAGCCATAGCATCAAATAGTGAACTAAAGAAAGCCTGTCGTCAACTGGTTCACCTGATAAAAACCATCCTGGACTGAGGTGGTCAAGATTTTGTAGACAGCTTGGGACACAGTGAGCTACCTGAGAGGCAGACAGAATATGAGAAGAAATAGATAGAAGGGAATTGCTGGAATGGTCAGTGAATGAGCTGCTATGCAAGGTGTAAGAGGACCTCAAGAAGGCAGCGACTCCTGTGATGCACAGCTGATAGCAAGGAAAGCTTCAGAGGTTTGAGATGCACCAGGCACTTCAGAGTGCTGGACACTGTGCCAAGAGGATTAGACGGCACCCTGCTGAGGAAGGAGACTTTGAGTAGGAAAGCATGTTAAGCCTCAACATCACTTACTTTGTACTGATAATGGCAAGGTCTATGACATCAGAGTGGGATAGATGCCAGCATGAGAATCTCCCCCAGATACCCAGAGTTCCATACCACATGACATTTGGTTCTGGGTTACCAGGTACCAATGGTCAGAAGAGAGCCATCCCAGATGCCTCTCCTGCTGATCTTCAGGATTCCTTGAGCCCCATTTTTCAATTAGCCCCAGGCCAGATGTCCACTGGGAACTTCTGTGCTCTTCTTCAGCCTGGCCATGGGTCATTGCAGCCACCAAGTCCAACACAGTACACAAGAGCTGTGGAAGAAGGTGAGGAGGCCCTCCACTGCCAACATCCCTTCCCTCCTCAGAACAATCAGGGTGAGTCAAAGGGCTGGGTACCATGCAGTATAGTACTTGGTTTGTCTCAAGTATTTTTGAAGGGAATTTTAAAACTTAAACCATTCACTCAGTGCTCACAGGAAGTTCCTGAACCACTCTCCCACTCCAACACTCAGAAACTGATGACATGAAAGCAGCAGCGTAGGGCCTGGGCCTAGGATGAATAGCACATTCCTTTATGGTAAAGGGACGAGGCCTTCCTCTGAGTCTGCATGCCTTTGCCTTACCATAGCTTTTAAAGTAGATGACATATATCCCCCTCCTTTTCAACTGAGTGTAGCCGGGCGGTGGTGGCTCACGCCTTTAATCCCAGCACTTGGGAGGCAGAGCCAGGCGGATCTCTGTGAGTTCGAGGTCAGCCTGGGCTGCCAAGTGAGTTCCAGGAAAGGCGCAAAGCTACACAGAGAAACCCTGTCTTGAAAAACAAAAAATAAATAAATAAATAAATAAATAAATAAATAAATAAATAAATAAATAAATAAATAAGCTGAGTGTATCTCACTGATTAATTAACCCAGTTCAGGGACTTCCCCTCTTTATACTGAGAACAAGAAAGCATGCGGCCCTAATTTGGAGCTGTATAGAGTTCAGGGTAGATACTGATTTTTTTTTCCCTATGTACACAGAAGCAATTGCCACTGAGATCCAGCATTTTTGGTTGGGGATAGACATGCTAGAAAACTTGCACGTGTGTATAAAGACACGTGCTGACAGCAGCACAGTTCACTATAGCCAAGACCTAGAAACCACTCCAGTGCCAATCCCCAGCACAGCAGAAAGGTGAATACGCTATAGCAATGTCAACAAATGGCCTAGACCTAATGTACATGGATGCCCAGCACAATCATAACATTGAACAAAAGGAACACTGAATAATAGCATGGATGCTATAGCTACATTTTTATAAAAAGAGGCAAATATATTGGTTCAGACATGCTCATGAAAATCTCCCAATTCTTTAAAAAAAAAAAAAATAAGGAAGTGAATGACATAAAAGTCAGGATGGGGGCTGGAGAGGTGGCTCAGTAGTTAAGAGCACTGACTGCTCTTGCAGAGGACCCAGGTTCAATTCCCAGCACCCACATGGCAGCTCACAAAAGTCTGTAACTCCAGTTCCAGGAGACCCTCACACAGACACACACAGGCAAAACACTGATGCACATAAAAATAAATCAATTATTAAAAAAAAAAGTCAGGCCGGGTGGTGGTGGCTGGCGCATGCCTTTAATCCCAGCACTCAGGAGGCAGAGCCAGGCAGATCTCTGTGAGTTCAAGGCCAGCCTGGTCTACAGAGTGAGTTCCAGGAAAGGCGCAAAGCTACAAGAGAAACCCTGTCTCAAAAAAAAAAAACAAAACAACAACAAAGTCAGGATGACAGTGACCTCTAGGGTCTTAGGAAGTGTGAGATAGCCATCCACCTGCTCTATTTCTTGGTTGTTACATGGGTGTTGACTTTACAACCATTTAATTACACTTGATAGTATAATTTATACATATTTTAAAAGTTAGTACAATAAAGTAATTAGTTGCTATTAAGATAAAATCAGGCTGTCGAGATGGCTCAGGTGGTAATGGCTGAGTTCGGTACCCAGACCCACGAGGTGGAACGAGAACTGACAGCAAGCTGTCCTCCGCCCTCCACGTGCATACTGTGGTACATGTGTGTGCACACACATACGTAACACACTAAAAAGTGTAATTTAAAAATGAACAGAGCCAGGCATGGTAGTGCATGTCTTTAATTCCAGCACTCAAGAGACAGATGCTGGTAGATCTGAGTTACAAGTCAGTCAGGACCACCTAGTGAGTTCCTGTCTCAAACAAAACAAAACAACAACAACAACAATAATAAATGAAAACAAAAAAAGAACAAAATCACAGTCAAGACAGTGAACATGAATAGCAATAAAGAGGGATATTAAGATAATTTATCAATTCTATTTATATGTACTTAGAAAATGAGCTCAAGGCGGGCAGTGGTGGCGCATACCTTTAATCCCAGCACTCAGGAGGCAGAGGCAGGCAGATCTCTGTGAGTTCGAGGCCAGCCTGGGCTACAGAGTGAGTTCCAGGACAGGCACCAGAGCTACACAGAGAAGCCCTGTGCTGGGGAAGCACGGCAGCCAGCAGCAGCCATGGTGGCAACAGGCAGGATGTTGTGAGTTCACATCATAAAATGCAAGCACAAGCAGAGAATGGACAGGAAAGGAGCAAGATTAGAAATACTCAAAGCTGCCAGTGATGCACTTCCTCCAAGAAGGCTCCACCTCCCAGAGGTTCCCCAACCTCCCGAAACAGTGACACCAACCAGGGATCAAGTGTTCAAATCCTAGGCCTATGGTGGATGCTCTCATTCAAACCACTGCAGCACTGCAAACATCGGGATGCACCAGGATTTACCAAATTGTAGACTTCACGCATAGTTCTTATGTTAATTATACATCAAAACTGTCTCCAAACAAGTATGTTTTGAATGCTTATATTTAGATAGCTCTGTATATAAACCAGAAATCACTGTAGTACTTCTATAGTTTTAAACAATTAAAATTGAATAAAGGTAGACATGACAACAAGGGTCTAAAACTATTTGCATTAGTATGACTGTCCTTAATGGCCCTCAAGTCGCCTCCAAAACCCCCCTGTCCTCTGGAAAAGGATTTAAAAACTTCTGTTTTAAACCAAGAGTTAACTGTGAGATTAAAACTAGCCACCACAATTTAGATTAATAATCTTTTAAATTTTTTATGAGTACAGGTGGCCCATGGAGGCCTGAGGCAGGAGGCACTGGATCCCCTTAGAGCTAGAGGTACAGGCAGTTGTGAGTCACCCAACATGGGTGCTGGGCACCAAACTAGGATCCTCTGCAAGAATAAGTACTCTTAACTGCTGAGCCATTTCTCTAGCCCCGTTATAAACTTATAATTAAAAGTTATGATTAAAAGTCTTCTTTTAGTCCCAAATATTGTTAAGGCCAGGTATGGTGGCACAAGCTTATAACATTAGCACTTGGGAAATCAATGAATGAAAGAGGTTCGGGAGTTCAAAGTGAGCCTTGGCTATAGCGGGTGCAAAGCCAACCTGGAATACAGGACAACCCATCTCAAACATGTGCATGCACACATACACATTACACACATTGTCAAGACTTCCAGCCTTCGGGCTAGAAATATAGTTCAGACCAGAGTTCAGTTCCGAGTACTCACATTGAGCTGTTCACAACTGCGGGTAACTCCAGCTCCAGGGCATCCAGCACCCCTTTATGGATTCCAAGGGCACCTGCACTCAACACATGCATGTGCACGTGCACACACACACACACACACACACACTTAAAAAAATAATATAAGTAAATCCTTTAAAATTTTTTAAAAAGACTTCCAAACCTCCTCACAGAAATTTCTTAAGAGTAATTTTATTAATTCAGAATAAATAACCAAATGCTTTTTCTAACAAATCTACCAAAACATTCTATAGATTGATTATGTGTTAGTTACAGTGGTTTCTCAATCTGTGAGTCACGACCCCTTTGGGGGTTAAACAACCCTTTCATGGGGTTGCCTAAGACCATCAACAAACACAGATAATTGCATTATGGTTCATAACAGTAGCAAAATTACAGTTGTGAAGTAGCAATGAAAATAATTTTATGGTTGGGGATCACCACAACATGAGGAACGGTATTAGAGTCGCAGCATTAGGAAGATTGAGAACCACTGGGTTAGGATTTAGAAATTTAACAACAGGTTAACAAAGCAAAGAATTCTAAAGTAAGAAAGAACCTAAGGTATTGTTTTATGTCATCAGAGGGATCTGGATACCTGTTTTTTGGCACTCTCCATACTCCCATGCTGTTTCCTAGAAATAATAAGTCATATCAACCAGTAAGAATGGCACTTTTAAAGGAGGACACAGGGTAGCCTAGAGTAGCTTGTGTTCATGGATGTCATACAGAACACTGCTCCCCACCATACTGAATATAGAGCATAGAGAATAAGCAGAAAGCAGTAAGAATAGGACTCTTATGTAAAATGCAGTAAGGAGGAATCCATGGCCCAAGGAAGTCTCAGCCTAGGAAGATAATATGACTCATTATTTATGAGCAATACAAGTAAGTCACTAAGAACACTTCCATTTGGAAATTCTTTACAAAAATTTTATTTGTGATTTTATTTATTCATAAAAGTACATTACATCAGTATTGCAAATAAAGACACATTTTCTCTAAAAGATGTCTACCTAATCATCTATTTCACCTCATGATTAACTTCCTATCTTAATACAAAGACAGCATCTTTTCTTTCTGCTTTGAAAGGTATCTTAATAGAATATGTCCATTAATATTCGCCTGGAAAGCAGAGGCTTCCTATTGATTGGGCTTAGAAAGCAATTAAACCTTGAACTTAAGTGCAACGTTCTATAATTTGCAATCTCTCCCTGAGTCTCTTTTGTTATATACAATCTCTCCTTAAAATAACCATTACATTTTAAAACATTCAAGCATTGCTTAGGAAATGATTAAGGGATCTAAAGGTAATCTACTAATTTAATAACTTAACAGTTACTTTCTATTAAGTAATCAAAAAAATGAAAATTATAGGTATTGATAATGACCGAATGGTAAGAGGATGAATTCTGAGAGCTGATGCATTTTAGAATCTTGTTTCAGGATCAGTCCTTTCAAATACTTAAAATGTTAAGAATACAATTTACACAGTAAAAAGGATTTGATTTGTTTTCAGTATGAAAGTACTTTTAATTTCCTTACTGCAGGTACAATGGCATCCAAGTTATCAATTTCTGTAAGAGACAAAGAAAGAGTTATAAAGAGTGACTTTTCTCTATTCAAAGTTCATAAAAATAAGGAAGTCTATACATGTAGAATTCAAACCCTAGGGCAGCAATAGCAGTAAGTGCTCTCGCACACATGAGTCTTCTCCAAGCACAGCAGATGACCAGTGCCTCCTTTGCACCAGTGTTTCGTAGGGATCTGCCATGTCCCCTCAACTCTGGCACTCATTTTATCAGCAGCACAGTCTTGGTAATGCATCCAGTTGGCCGTGTTTATGATCTCTTGGTACCTCTTAAATCTGCACAGCTACGTGAGTAAGCCAACATGGGCCCCAACATGCACCCTCCACCTGAGGATTTGGGAATTGATTTCTTCTGAAGGAACACAGCGTTCCTTCTTGATTTAGTTTCAGAGTGGAGTGCTCTCAGGCCTTCTTTTGGGAGATCTGTTCAGTTAGAGGTGTGTGGCACTCCAGAACAAAGCATAGGGACGCGGCTGATCCAGGTCTGCATCTTCAGACAAAGCAGTTCAGGTTCTTCAGCGGCTTCTTTCTGAGTTTGATTTTTCTTCTAAGGTATCAGATTTCAGTGATCCTAAGCCAGAATTCACTTTCTAAAGCTCCTGCTCACTGAGGAAGCAAGTACCTTCCCTTATCCAGATACCATCCCTACTAACAGGTTCCAAGTGGCAGGGTCTGCATTTTCCTAGCTTATTTTGCAGAGTCAAGAGTCTCACAGAATAATGCCATTTCTCATGAGAAAGTCCCAAAACAAGATAGACTCACAGGGCTAGAGAGAGATGACTCAGCAGTTAAAAGCATTTGCTGTAACTTGTAAGAGGACCTGGGTTCAGTGCCCAGCACCAACAAGAATTAACTGTCTGTAACTCTAGTTCCAGGAGATCCGGCCACCTTTTCTGGCCTCCACAGGCAGCTGTCCATACATACATGCAGGCAAATAGTCATACACATAAATAAAATATTTAATAAGAAAGGAAAAGGATAGTTCCTAACTTTTTATAGGATATCTTTTTCTATTCTGTGAATTAATCCTAACCAACTTTTCCTGCAAAGCAGTTAAAACTTTCTAGACACTTCCACCAAACACCTAAGGTAAACATAAACCCATTATCTAATGAACACCCTTCTGTCATACCCATTGACATCTTAAGATGAAAAATTTAGCCCCCATCAACAGGTCTTACCTAAGATTTCAAGAAGATCATTAGTAAAAGCTTGAAATGCTGGAAAAAACTCCTCATGTTCTTCTAATTTGTTGATAATGCTATTTAAAAAAAGACACAGTTTACAAAAGTTTCCAATATAGGTTTTTTTGCATTTGATTGTTAACAGGTAGCTGCAGACAGAACATTTTCAAAGTGGAAGAAACTGTCCTGTTAAATTGAATATAAACTTAATGTTCAATTACAGTAATCCTTTCTTTTAAAGATCTTAATTCATCTAATACCATTTTCCTATTTTTTTTAAAAAAAGCATCTTTAGAACATTTGCTAAAAATAGGCTTCTCTACCCAGTATGCTACTAAACATTAAATACCAGTGGTCAGTAAAACAGTGGAAAGGAGGGGAAAGATAAATAGTGAAAAGCATTAAATACGAAAAGACTCGGGCTGGAGAGAGATCTCAGATGCTAAGAGCACTGGCTATTCTTCAAGAGGTCCTGAGTTCAATTTCCAGCAACCACATGGTGGCTCACAACCATCTATAATGAGATCTGATATCCTCTTCTGACATGCAGGTAGAACACTGTATAACTGTATACACAATAAATAAATCTTAAAAAAAATATGAAAAGACTCAACTGCCAGATTATATAAAGGTTCTTCCAGGGAAAATTTCAGAATATATGGATGGTGGTGGTGGTGGTGATGATGATGATGATATGTGTGTGTGTTTCCCTATATTTTGCAGTATCAAATTAGTTGCTGAAAGTTGCTGAAAGCTACAATGTCTCAGGGGGGTTATTTTGGAGTAGGAGTTATTGGAGAGAGAGCCAGAGTTTCATGCACGGTAAACACAATCTCTATCACTGAGCTCTATATCTACCTTAGCCCCATAATATATATTTTTTTAAATATTACACTTTATATTAATGGTGCCCAGTCTTTTAAAAATCCTTAATATTTATATCTAAACAAAAAAATTGATTAGTAATTACTCAGTAGTTTTTGTAGTGTCCCAGAAACAGATTATAAATTATAATCCAACTCAAGGATTATAAAGATTTAAATTTCTCTACATATAACCTCCCCTGGGAGTGAGTTTCTGCTAGAGTTCTCAACTGCCCTATGTGAGTTTATAGGCCCCAACAATTTTTATCTTGAGTACATGTGACATTTTCTTTATCTCCAAGAGTGTATGACTCTTTACGGTTATAAAGTTATTTTTAGAAGGCATAGTGGCACACACTTTTGATCCCAGCACTCTGAAGGCAGTCAAGCAGATCTCTATTTTCAAGGCCACCCTGGTCTATACAGAGTTTCAGGACACCTAGACCCTGTCTCAAAAAAAAAAAAAAAAAAAAAAAAAAAATTATCACTCCTGATAAGTAATTTGTAAAGCTTTGAAAGTCTTCACTTTTCACCACTCCAAGCATATTGGATACATTTCTAACAAATACCTTTGTAGGTCTTCAGGTCCTAATACTTGTTTAATCTGCTTATTCACATCCTCATTAATTATCTTACACAATTTTCCAACTGTGCTGACCACCACACACAATGAGGATGAACTGTCTGCAAAAGAGAAATGAAAACATATTAAAAAAAAAAAAAAAAGACTTTCCAAAATCATTACACTCATTTAACATTTCCTACTTCAGTTACTAATTCTATTTTTGGTGGGAGAAAGGAATTAAGATTTTTTTTTCCTTTAGTTTACACACATTTATATAGTTGTGTGTACCTCTGAAAAGGCAGAGGCCAGAAGAAAGCAGTGGGTATTCACCTCTATCACCCTTTGACTATTTCTTTAAGACACACTAACTCCTTGAGCCTGGAGTTCACATTTTCTTAGCTAGGCTGCAATTTTTCTTAGCTAGGCTGGAAGCCAGTGGGCCTAAACAATTCTGTCTCCATTCTCCTCAGAGCTGGAGTAACAGGTGTTTGTGGAATGTCTGGCTTGGAATCATAAGTCTGGTACTCATGATTGCAAAGAATGTGTTCTTAACCACTGAGTCATTTCCCAACCCTGGGGTTTGTTGTTTTAAGCCAGGGTCTTAAACTTTTAGAAAAAGATTTGCTAGACAGTGATGGCACACACTTTTAATCCCGGTATTTGGGAGGTAAAAGGCAGGTGGATCTCTGAGTTTGAAGCTATCCTGGTCTACATAGAAATTCAGGACAGCCAGGACGGTTACATAGAAAAACCCTGTTTGGAAAAAAAAAAAAAAAAAGATTCGCACATGTGTATGGATGAGTATATGCATGTATGTATGTATGTATGTATGTGTGTGCGAGTACTTTTGCACATACGGAAACCAGAAGAGGGAGTTAGATTCTGTAACTCTGTGTGGAGTTACAGGGATTTGGGAGATGTCTGGCTTGTTAGAGGGGTGCTGGGACATGAACTCCAGTCCTAAAAATTTCACAACAAGTGCTCTTAACTACTGGGCCATCTCTCCAGACCCTGACCTTGAACTTCTAATCCTCCTGCCTCCATTTACTGAGTGCAAGGATTCTATAGGTGCACCACCATGCCCTGTTTATGCAGTATTGAGAATCAAACCCAGAGTTCACGCATGCTAGGCAAGTACTCTGCCAACTTGGTTATATCCCTACCCCTGTTTTTTGTGGTTTTGTTGTTGCTGTTTTGCTTTTTAATCAAACGGACTTTTGTGGGGTATGGTGGTACACACCAGCAACCTGAGCTCTTGGGAGGTATAGGACAAAGATCAGGAGTTCAAGGTCAGCTTTGGCTACAGTAAGAGCAAAGCAACACTGTCACAACAAGTCAAACAAAACCCACACCTAATTTTTGTTAATTTACTAGGAACAGTTCTTAAATCAGTGCCAAAATGGCAAGGGTCATCACCTAATTCTAAGAGCTCCTGGAGGTTTCTCACAGCGTTGTTCATTTCTCCAAGCCTGGTATACACTTCATTCATTCGGGGGTAGACTCCATTTAAAGACTGCACATCAAATAGCTTTTGGAAGTGAGAAACGATAGCTTGCAAAGTTTGAAAGTTTGGCATGTTGCTGCTCTATAAGGAGAAGGTGAAAAAGATAGCTCACAACTTGAAATAATATTAAATATTTAATATAAGCCTTTAAGATGGAAACAGTTATGTAAGTATCAGTGTTACCTCCTTCTCATTTTCAACCTCTTCCAGCATGGTATCTACCATAAACAACAGATCTTCTACTTTGACACCTTCATTTTCATCTGGTTTCTTTAAATTATGCCAAGGTACCAGTTCTGCAGACAGCGTTTTTAAGGACTTATACAAACCCTTTACAACAAAAGAAAGCACATGCATTATTGTTTATAAAATAATTTGTACTGTAACACTAATAACATAGTAATCAAGGTGGTCTAAAAATACATGGCTATATAACCATTATCAGTATATTTTAATACCATTGTCAATATAAAACAAGTCTAGATGCTTTAAGCAATAATGTTACCTAAGTAGTTACATTGTTTTTTAAAATTATTTTTATCAGTGCTGGAGATAACCCAGGCCTTCCCTCATAAATACAAGGCAAATACTTTACCATTGAGCCATATCCTTAACCTAGGTTTTAAATATTTTTGTAGCACATTTAGATGAAATTTACATACCATAATATTCACCTTTACTAGTACATAGTTTGATGGTTTTCATCTTTTCACAGTGGTACAAACACCACCACTGTCTAATTTCAGAACCTATCCACCTTCCAAGAAGAACTCCCACACCCAGGGCTGAAGAGATGTCTCAGTAGTAAGAGCATTTGTTGGTCTTCAGAGGAGCCAGGTTCAGTTCCCAGTACCCACATGATGGTTTACAACCATTCATAACTCCAGTTCCAGAGGATCTGACACCCTCTTCTGACCTCCACAGGAACCAGACATACATGTGGTGCACAAACACATATGCGGGGAAATGTTCATACACATAAAACATTTTAAAAATAAAAAAAGAAACCCCACACCCACTCAAAGTCCTTTTCTATTATCCTCCAGCCTCTATAACTACTAATCCACTTCCTGCTGCTATGGATTTGCCTACACTTGGCATTTCATGTAAATGAAATTTTGTAAGTGGCCATGTGTGACTGACTTCTTTTGAGAATCCCCTGTATTTATTATTGATGGGAATGAAAGTTTTACAGCCATTATGTAAAACAGTAATAGAGGTTCCTCAAAAAACTAAAGATAAAACTGCCACATAGCCTAACAATCCTACATCTGGGAATGTATACAAATAAAATGAAACTATAATATGTCAAAAAAAAATGCCAGGTCTCACATGTTTACTGAAGCACTATTCAGAATTGCCAAGATATGGGATCAATGTAGGTGTCTAACGACAGATGAATGGCTAAAAGGAAATAGTGTATGTATGTGTGCATACAAACATGCACATGTATACAATGGATATCAACCATAAAAAGAATGACATCTGTCATTTACAGAACTAAAAGACATTATGTTAAGTGAAATAAAATAGACATAAATACCACGTTCTTACTTATAGGTCAGAGTTTCTAAAGTTAGTCTCCTAGTGGTTCCCAAAGCCTGAGAAGGGTTTGAGTAAAAAGGAATGGGACAGGATGGGTAACAGTCACAGGGTGCAGTTGGATAAGAGAAATAATTTGTGATGTTCTATACCATAGTAGGGTAACTAAAGCTCACAAAAATTAACTATTTTTAAATGACCGAGAATTTTTGATATTCTTAACACCGACCCTACTCACTGTATGTGTTGAAATACCTATACTACCCCTCACACATGTGTATGGTTATATACTAATTGAAAATAAAACATATAATAAGACCAGGCTTAGTGGCACATGCCTTTAATCCCAGAATCGGGAGGCAGAAGCAGGTAGACTTCTGTGAATTTAAGGTCAGCCTACATGTGAGTTCCAGGCCAGCCAGACTTGTATAATGAGGCCTGTCTCAAAATATAAATAGGCAAACATGTAGGATTCTATAATATGAATTGCTACATTTCTTTTCTATTTATCTCCCAAATGCATGGTTCTCTTTTAAGTCATGAATCAGACCTAAGGGAAAAAATATTAACTGGGGAGATGTCTGTCCCAACTAGAACGTTCTACATTATAAAGAACTCTCCATAGAGGCATCAAAGGATTGCACATACTTTCTAAGATGGCTCCTGAATCTGTATTGTAAATATTAGAAACACTATGAAAGGCCATGAACTACTTTAATGGCAGAAGAAACTAATTCTAGCCAATTGCCTCAAGTGTCCTTACAATATTCTAATTTCTTGCCTCCTCCTACTCAGAAATCTACATAGTAGCAACAAGTCAGCCCTCTTGCTAAGCCTTTGTGGGGGCTATAATCAGTGATCTCCTTTCTACCAGCTGTCTCCTGGAGTACAAGTCATCCATATCATTGGCTTGTACTTCACCACAGGTGTCCATCTTTATGACATTCATTTTTTTTCTGACAATATACTGCACATTTATTTAAAATGTCATATTTTTGTCTCTCAATTGGTCTGACCCTATGTTCACATTTTTGTAACACTTTCCCTATTATCTCACATAGAAAAATGACCATGTCTATGAACTTGGTTCTTCCTTTGTCACTTTCTCATCTAGTCTTTCCCTTCTGTTGGGAAGGCAAGGGCTGTTTCTAGTCTAACTCCTCTGAGAAGGAGAAAAGTGGTTAGCACTATTATCTTCTGCAGAGAGAACTCTCTGCCAAGCAGTGAGTGGGAAATGCCACCGTTCCACAAGTCATCTCTATTTCACTCTTTTCTGAGAAACAAACTAAATTCAGGCATATAAAATAGTAATTAATACAGCACTGTCATTCAATCAAAAATGCTTATATATTATGTAGCTTTGTCTGAACCCTAAAGAAAAAGGGAAATAAAAGTTAGGCTGACTGCCAAGATTCTTTCATGAGTTGTATACAGATATGATTTTATAAATTTAACAAGGTGTGGTGGTGCACATCTTGAACTCCAGCACTCAGGAGGTAGAGGCACTCAGGAGTTTGAGGACAGCCTGGTCTACACAGGGAGTTTCAGGACAGCCAGGGCTGCATAATAGAGACCTTGTCTCAAAAAGACCAAAAACACTAGGTGGTAGCCCAGCTCTCAGAAGGCAGAGGCAGGCAGATCTCCGTGAGTTCAAGGCCAGCCTGGTCTACAAAATGAGTTCCAGGACAGCCACAGTGGTTACACGGAGGAACCCTGTCTCGAGAAACTAAAAAAAGAAAAAAGAAATATACATAATAATAATAAAGTATTTTTTTAAAAAAGACTAACAACAAAACAAATAAACAAAAAACCCACCTCTAGGTGACTATAATTATTCTGGATAATTTGAATAAATATTAATTGAGCACTAATGTATCATGAAGATCTTTGTGGCATATAGGAACAAATAAGACTTTTTGTTCCCAAGAAGGTCACTTGCTCTTAACAAGTTTCTTTGAGTATTAGGACAAAATGCTGACAAATACTATCAATAAATCCTATCTTCATTAACTATAGCAGGATTTTGTATGATATTAGTTACTAAAAAAAAAAATCTAAAGTTTAAAAGGCACAGAAATGCAATACTATTAGCTTTATAGCAAATCACTTCTCAATAAACCAATCAAAAAAATGTAATAAACTTGTTACACAATAGAGAATATACAATGACCTATAAATCAAATGTGAATACATTTAATTTCCTGGTTGCTTGCTGACTGTCACCTTCCCCGGCAATTAGACAAACACAGAAATAAACTCAGTTCTGAGAAAGAAAAATAAAATGTGAAGACAGGAAAAATATTCCCAGTTACGATGAAAATAAGGATGAGACACTGCATCTGAGCACGTGCCGCGGTCAGGAAGTGTGCAGCACAGGTGTGAGCACAGGTGTGAGCACAGGTGTGAGGAGGAGGGAGATGGCAGGATGTGGATGAGCCGAGATGCACAAACAACGATCCACCACAGATTCTCAACGAGGGAAGTCTAATAAAAGTTTTCTCTGGTGGAACTTTAGAGGAGGCAAGCTTGACAATAACAACAAACTCACAGGATGACAATTTGTAAGGCTGGGCACGGTGGTGCACGCCTTTAATTACAGCACTCAGGAGGCAGAAGCAGGTGGGTATCTGTGAGTTCAAAGCCAGCCTGCTCTATATAGAGAGTTTCAGTCCAGCCAGGACTACATAGTGAGACTCTGTCTCAAAAACAAAACAGAACAAAATATGTAAGCAGCAATACTCCAATTTTAGAAAAGTATTGTTAGCTTTATAGTTAAAGAACAACAAAAGCCAGGCTCAACGTTTTCAAAACATGTAAAGAATATTCAACCACTTACCTTTAAGGATGTCAGTTCATCTGCCCACATTTCTATTATAGGAACGAGATGTTCAAATCCACAATCTTGAACCATATCTTTATTGAAGTTTTGGGCTCCTCCCTTGCTCTGTTTATAAATAATTACTGGAGCTCGAGGATTGTGAATAATTGAATTGATGCTGCACAGCACCTGTAAACATGGATAGTATTTGTAGTTCAAATGTCTGAGTCTGACACAGTGAGGTATGTGAAACAGGAGTGCACATCATTTTCAGACATTCATAAATATTGTGGTAATGCAATCTCATTAGCATAGATGTACAAATTCTAAGGAAAACTAAATAAAATTTTAATAATTTAGGTTTGAAAACAGCTACTATCTATTATAATCCACACACAATAATTATAATCCACACAGACTAGACATCCTTATCTAAGTCTCAATGTTTCCCTATTTCTGTCTCCTCATATTTAAGCTAAGTATGGTATTAAGGGGAGCTTTCTATTTGTTTCACAACTTCAGTTGAAATTTAAAGTAAAGATAGTTACTATTTAAGCCCCACACATTCTACAGAGACGTCCTGGCCAGCCAGTCCAATAATTCTTAACAAACGCTACAAATCCCCGAGACAGGACTCTCTGAGAGTGTCTGCACAGAGTTTCTAGGGCTGGGAGGAAACACTGCTGTTCCTGTCTGCCCAAGCAAGCTACAGCAGATAGGTGCTCTGAGAATCTGACTTCTCATGTTTGTTAATAAGGACGTTTTTGTTTCGTATTCATTTTTAAGTATTTCAACATTTCATGTCTATTATAAACTCATCTAGTAATATCAATTAATTGAAAAAATAATATTCTTCTCCAAGTTATGAATCAAAGCAAGGAGATAGTCCTCTTTTCAGCGACACTGAATGTCAGAAAGGTAGTAGGTGAACTAAAAGACACAGGGATTGATGCTACCTGAGCTTCAGAAGATCACAGGGCAATTTCATGACACTCACATCAGATTTAGATACATGTATGCACACGTTGAGGTTATTTATAAAGAGGACTGCAGCTATTTCTTGTCCTTGCTTTGTTGTATCTTTGCACCATGACTTGTAGTTTCTCCCATCAAAATGTAGAGATTTTTTACCCTCTGAATCTGGGCTGGTCTTAGGTCTTGCTTTGATCCACAGAATTTACTGAAAAGAATGCCATTCCAGTTTCGGTCTTTAAAAAAGCTTGTTTAGTTTTTTGTTTTTTTCAAGACAGGATTTTGAGACAGTATTAACAGCTCTGGCTGGCCTGGAACACACCGAGTTCCACCTGCCCATGTCTCCTGCGTGCTGAGATTAAAGGTGTGCACCACCACAACTGGCCAAAGTGGGGCAAAGTTCTTAAGTAGTCTAGATCACATTTTACACTCTGCTGCAGCCATGTGGCCAAGTCCAGGCCGAACTACGCAGGCCCATCCATTCCCATCATTGAGACAAAAATTCACTCAACTGCCACAAGAAGAGCTCTAATGATTCACCATCAACTTATCACCAATATTAACAGGACTATCTACTGTCCAAGCATGACACTATTAAAGGGCACTGTAAGTCACTAGTTTTAGAAGATGTCTGTCACACAGCGAAGATAAACGGCCATTTGTGACCACCACAATGGAGAAGAAGAAAAGAACAGCAAGAGAAACCTGCCCCTTTTTCTTGTGATAGGGTAAGAATAGACTCAGGCCAACTGAAAACATTGCAAGAGAGATAAGCTTTACTTTCATGAAAATAAAAAAGAAACTGTTTATGGCTGGAGGACCACAGCAGTACAGTACCTAAGGGAGAAGAGGAGTTCATAAGAAGTCAGTGGTAAAATGCACTGCCCACAAAATAAATGCTGTGTTGTTAAAGGTCCCTATTTAGGAGAAAGGAGAGAACTAAACAGGTACATGCACACATACACATTCCATGAAAGAAAAGCAGAGGCCGTAGTTGGACGTCAGCCCCACCAAGGGCACCGGCACTCTAATATAGCAGCACCAGAAAGGAAGGCACCTTCAAACTCTCTTCTCACCCACCATCTACCCTCGACTGCCACTCCTTGAAATGCCAAACTAGTAGGGACCAGAAGAAACAATGGAGTGATGAGAACAAGCAGATCACACCCCTTGGCCACACCATAGAACAGGTTAGGTATGAATAAGCTAGAATACTTTTTGACTGAGGTTTGAATGGATTGTTTTAAACCGCCCAACTTTTCATTATAAAACATTTAAAATAAGCCAGGCATGGTGGCACATGCCCTTAATCATAGCACTCCAGAGACAGAGGTAAGAGAATCTTTGGGAGTTCAAGTATAGCTTGGCTAACAAGTTCCAAACCAGCCAGGACTACATAGTAAAACCTTGTCTCAAAACAAAATTAAACAAACAACAACCAACATCTTAAACAAACAAAAACTTTAGTGTGTATGTTAAACAGTGTTCTAGGCTTTGCCAGAGAAACACCACCAACATAAAGTGTATTCCTGTGTATAGATAAGGGGACGCTGTGTAATTTCTTGAAGGATCAAATGCAATACACACATATGAGAGAGATGGCCATATTTTTAAAAAAGATTTCATATAAGGAATTGGCTCATGAAATTAATGGAACCCCATGACTATCAGTCAGCAATTTGAGAGGAGACCCAGAACTGTAGTCCCAAAGCCCTAGAAGTCTGAAATTTTGGTTCAAATCTAAAGGTAGGAGAAGTAACCAAAACCAAACAAAGCATGTTAAAAGCATGCATTAGAAATCCCCCCTGGGCCTTTTTGTTCTGTAAGCGATTAGATGAAATCCACCTACCACAGGAGGACAATCTATCGTCTACCATTTCACTCACTGGCACGTTGTTTAACCAAGTATCTGGGCAATGTATAGCCCAATCAAGCTGACATATACAATCCAGTAGCTGCTAACATTTTGCTAGCTTGGCTCACTCTTTACAGCTGAACCAACAGTCTCCAGAAATCCACAGAGATACCTCCACTGTAGACTAATGGCAATGGTCGAGAGAGTGCCTGAGCTGACCTGCTCTGGTGTTCGGATGGCCGAACACCCTGGCTGTCATGATAGAACTCTCATCCAGTGTCTGATGGAAGCAGATGCAGAGATCCATGGCCGAGCCCCAGGTGGAGCTCCGGGAGTCCAATCGGCAAGAGAGAGGAGAGATTGTATGAACAAGAGATATTGAGACCATGATTGGAAAAAGCACAGGGACAAATAGCCAAACTAGTGGAAACGCATGAACTGTGAACCAATGGCAGAGGAACCCCCATGGAACTGGACCAGGCCCTCTGGATAAGTGAGACAGTTGACTAGCTTGAACTGTTTGGCAGTCCCCCAGGCAGTGGAACAGGGACCTGTCCTTGGTGCATGGGCTGGCTTTTTGGAACCTGGGGCCTATGCTGGGACACTTTGCTCAGCCTAGGTGAAGGGAGGAGGGGACTGGACCTGCCTCAGCTGAGTCTACCAGGCTGGGCTGACTCCCCAGGGGAGACCTTGCCTTGGAGGAGATGGGAATTGAGGGTGGATTAGGGGGGGAGGGCCAGGGGGTTGGAGGAGGGAGGACAGGGGAATCCGTGGCTGATATGTGAAATTAAGTTAATTAGAAAATAAAAATATTTTTAAAAATTGTAAATTATCATTTCTCAAATATTAATAAAAAATCACATTTCAATGCATCCTAATGGGATTTTATTTTAATATATGTTCATCCAGAAGAGCAAATGGGCTCAAAATTTTTTAATTTATTCACATTAATATAAAACCCTACTATAAAGCTGCAGAAGAGCTTGGAATCAGTAAAGGAATGGGACACACTACAGAATCCAGAAAGAAATGTATGCATGAACAGAAAATGACATATGACAAAAATGTCGTGTCAGCAAACTAGAGGGAAACATTTGTCTGGGACTGCCGACTGCAATGTGTACAGAAGGCAAGTAGAACAAGCATAACTGAGCAAGGCAAGGACGGGTGGGAACTGTGGCTCATCAAAGGGCACACACTCATATGTACTTCTGCTCTGCTAACTGACACGAGGAGCTAAAGGACTTTAAAAATACACTCTTAGTGCTTAAAATGTTAGTCATTAAATTCAAATTTTAATGCCTATGGCCAAGTATGGTGGTGCACACCTTTAATCCCAGCATTTGGGAGGCAGAGGCAGAGGCAGATGTATCTCTGTGAGTTTGAGGCCAGCCTGGTCTACATAGCAAGTTTCAGGACAGCCCAGAACTTCAGAGAGAGACCCTGTCTCAGACAGACAGACAGACAAAGAGACAGACAGACAAAAACCTATGGGGAACCAAAAAATGTTTAAGTGCAAGCCAACTTCATACAATAAACTACTAGATTTAATTGCTCATATATTCAATAAACTGTCTATAAAACCAGTAGGTTATTTTTTTACATCACATAGATAATTTCAACCAAATCAAAGACATGCAAAGATTTGAAGATTCACTTACATAATAATACCACCAACAACAAGTGGAACAATAAAAGGGCAAATAGCTTAAATTGGGAGAGTAAAGAATTATAAAAATCTTAAACAATATAGTTACATAGTGTTTACACTGTACTATTATAGTTATTATAACAGTAGTTATTATAGAGAAGATATGTGTGGGTTATAGGAAAATACTATGTTTAGGGAAAAGGGGTTGGCTAAAAAAACGTACCCTGACTAGGGCAAGATAGCCCAGATCAGGGCAGAAAGAAATACAGTTTGGCTCAGTCAGATCAGAGCCATCTCTGCCCCTGGCCAACTGACTTGTGAAACCAGCCAATCACAGAGCAGGATAGTAGAACCCTGGGCCCAGGGTTGACTCCACCCCCAAGAATTCCTGTGTAACTGCCCTGCCTGGTCAGTTAGGAAAAAAAGGCTGTTCTTTCCACTCTGGTAGAGGCAGCTACTCTCCTGGAATCCTCCTTCCCAAATAAATCTCTTTCTCAAAAGAGTTTTGAGTGTGAAGATCTTCATTCACTGGCATAGAGAAGATCCTTGCTGGGACGTCCTTCAGTGGACAAAAAAAAGGGAGAGCTGAAAGAGCAGAGCAAGGAGGAGCTGAACAGAAGATCTTTGCTGAGATCTTCTCAGTGGACACAGCAAGAAAGAGCTGAAAAGTAACACTTATCTCGGGAGCCAGAGGAGATTGCTACATTTCTGCAGGGGCTTCCCCTTCCCCAGAGTGAAGCAAAAGAAGCAACATCTTAGGCCGGAGAAGCAGAGCTCTGCTAGGAAGCCCCCTTAAGTGGGGGCTGAGCAAAGCTCAGCTGTAGAGGCTCTCCAGGAGAAGATCCCCCATCACACCAGGTATACCTTGACTTTCCCAGAAGAGTAAGGATACCCTTCCCTGCTGAAGCAGTTCTAGGCCTGACTCTCCCAAAAAGTCAGAAAAATTTCCCTTCCAGGGTTGGGCTGCTTCTTTGCAGTTCCAGCTGTCAGAGCTGTACTAAACAGCTCCAGGTGTCCGGGACACCTTCAGGGAAGAGTTGTTGTTCTGAGAAGCTCAAGGTGTCCAGGAACCACACCCTCCAGGGCTGAACTGTCTCCTTGCAGTTCCAGCCGTCAGAGCTGTCCTAAGCAGCTCAAGGTGTTGCCTGACTCCCCAGGTAGTTGGGACACCTTCCCTCAGAGTTGTTGCAACCAATTTACTTACATTGTTGGTGCCAAAAGCCGGGACACCAAACGCACAGAGTTGCAAAACTCACTTTTTGCAACCAATTTACTTGCACTATGTGTCTTAGTTTTCTGTTGCTGGGATGAAATACCCTGTAAAAAGCAGTTTATGGGAGAGTTTCTTTTTCGCTCACAGTTCCAGAGGGATACAATCCATGGAAAAACATGGCAGCAGGCAGGGAAGGCATGGTGGTGAGAGCTGGAGACTGCATCCATAGTCAGGAAGTAAAGAGTGAACAAGAAGTGGAGCCAAGCTATCAAACCTCAAGGCCTGATCCCAGGGACTCCAGCAAGGCTTCACCTCCTAAAGGCTCCACAACCTTTCTAAATGGCTGGAGATCACATGTTCAAACACATGAACCTATAGGGGACATTTCACATTTAAGCTACAACACAATGCCATTACATAAGGGATTTTACAGATTTAGGCATCTGTAAGCATCACAGAACCAAGCCCCCACAGATCCCAAGAGCTGTCTGTACAAATATTTCTCACCAAATGATAATGAATTATATTGCAGTAAAACAAAAAATCATCACAAACACCAGTCTCTTCATCAACTATTCAATACCTGAAAGTATCTCTGATCAATTAGAGCCTGTTGACGGCTGTCTTTGGGGGGCTCATCTTTTTTCTCCATGTCATCAACCTTTTTTTGACCAATAATCTCTTGTAATCTAAAGAAGGGGAAAAAAGTCAAGATGATTTAAAAAAAATACTTTCTTAGATAGATTAAAATACTTAAGCCAATGATCCAGCTGGCCTCCCCCAAACCTCTTTTTACTCATATGTATGTGTTCATGCACATGTATGCAAACGTTAAATATGCATTATATAAAATGTAATCCATACTGTTCCTGGAAAAGTTCCTTCCAATAGATCACAAGTTAGAAGTAATTTCTAAAAACATGAGGGGTCTCCTAGGCCAGAGGCATCCCTCCAGGCACAGGGCAGAGTTAGAAGAGAGGTGTCTCTGAGGAATGTTCCCATTTTGCTGTTGCTTTCAGATGGATTTGACCCTATCCAAAATCACATCAAATTCTTCCCTGCTGTGTTTCCTAAAAAACTGGATAAGACTGAACCTCAGAGTCTTAAGGAAAAGGTTCCCTTACCCAGGCCTAACTAAGTGACTGGGAATCCTGGCCTCCAGAGGCAGTTTAAACTACAATACCATCACTCCACTCAATCTGTTTTGCAAGCAAGAGAGAAAAAGAACTGAGATCCCATAGGTTAAATTGTCCTTTTACTTGAAGGATCACCTGAATCAGCCCAATCATGTAAAATGTACCCTATACTTTAGCTATGGAAAGTTCTAGTCCAAAAAGGAGCCAGAGGGCAAGAAACAAGTCTTAACCTCCTACAAAGTATCCAAATCCCCAAACTCATGAACTGCCCAACATGACTGTTTCCACCCCTTCAAGTCTTCTGACTATTCATCCCAATCTGCAGCCCTTTAGAGAGACCAGACCCCTCCCCAGTGTGGAAATACTGTCCCCCTGGTGGCCAGCCACAGTACATTGCCCCCTTTTCTTCCACAAGAGATGTTTTCAATTAGGCAGATCTACAGAGGGAAATCTGGGACAACCTATGTGCATGGCTCCTTTTCTCTGTCTGAACTAAAAGAGACCTGGGGAGCTTTATTGATGGCTCCATTCAGTATGTCCAAACCTTTGAAGAGTAAACCAACTTTATGATTTGGCATGCTGTTTTTAGAACAAACTACAACATTTCTTGAGAGATGAGTGATAGATTAGGACATCCATGCTGGGAATGACTTTTATACCTCCATAGAAAGAATGACTGGTGATGAGGCAGTTCTAATCCAATCCTAAATTCAATCCAGAGGATCAGAGGAATGAATAGATTTAAGGATGCTCTTTTACTGCAGGCTAGAAAGTCTCAGAAAGTCAGCAATTAAGCCCTAAAATTATTCCCAACTGACTACAGTATGTTAGAAGGAAAGGAGATCCCCATGATGCTCTTCCAAAGATTTCAAGAGACTATAAAATATATACTAATATAGAACCAGGATCACAGGCAGAGATCATCCAAAATGATAAATGCCTGACTTCATTAGCCATATTTATAACTCCAAACATTGGTGATTGAATCAGGCAAGCCATTGGATACTTTGATCCAAACTACTACATTAATTTTCTTATAAATGGGACCAAGAGGAAATACAAAAGGATAAACATCTTGGGAAACTGCTGATAGCCATGCAGGTGAATCCTCAAGAAACACAATTAGGTTTGTTAGGAATGCATTTCTTATGCAGGCAGGAAGGCTATTTCCTGACAATGCTCTCAGAGACAAAAGCCTCCCCCAGGACCTCTTTGTAAGGGTGATCACTAGATTAGATGCCCTCCCAATCAATAAGGATCAATCCAGCTTGAAGAGTTCTGGGAACTCTTTACAATGAAGGAAGGTCAAATCAATTCCTCATTAACACAGGAATCCAAAATTCTTAGTCCTCCCATTCTTTCTCATCTCTGATCCCCCCTCCAAAAAAAAAGCTATTAGTTGGGGATTATTGAGCCAGCCCTTTAAGCATTATTTACCCAACCTCTTGCCTGTTAATGGGGAGATCTCTATTTCTGTCACTTCTTTTTGGCAATCCCCCAAACTCCTGCTGCTCTTTAGAAAGAGATCTCCTGGCCAAAGTCAAAGTAAAACTTCTTTCCCCAAGACAACATTATTGTCTGCTGCTAATAGAATCCAAATTGTTCAAACAGCATGGACAAATGGGGAATTATTAGGGAAGGCTAGGACCATCATTCCTATGGTCATTCATTTTAGAGACCCTTTCCATTTTATGTATCAAAGGCAATATTCTTTAATACCAGAAGCTAGGGATGGGTTCATCACTATAATTAAAATTAAACCCTCTTTGAGGCACTATATGGCAGGCCATTTTTTACCAGTGCTTTGGTGCTGAACCCAGAAATGGCCAAGCTAATTTCCCATGTTATCCAATTAGCAAAATCCCAGAAAATACTGTCAAGAACTTCAAGCTGGGTTCTCTCAAGAGAAACAACAGAGATCCCCCTTCTACCCTGGGGACTTAGTTAAAACTCCTGATGACAACAGATGTCTCGCACACCCATATCCTGTTATTCTATCCTCACCTATGAACAGCAGGACAGAACGCATGGATCCCTCACACGAGTCTCAAGCCTTAGACTGCCTCTCCTGATACTTCTAAACTAGCAGTGGATCCTGAGACCAAGACTACCTCATTCCAGTTACTCCTGAGAGCCACTGGGGGACCTTAAGCTGCTCTTCAAACAATCACCTTCCAACTAAAGATAAACTCATTTGAGTGCAAAACAGCAGCACGTACAGGTACCACTGTTGCTGTAGCTTTTCATTTGTATCTCACTGGTCTTGTTGCACCGCCTTAGTTTGTGGTGCACTTGTCCCATAATTCAGGATGACTCCTAAAATCACTCTGCTTTACTTCCAGATGATTTTTTAACTACTCTAACACCCACCCATGACCAACCATGCCAAGGTTGTGGGGCTAGCTATCATGTATATTTCCCTTATCAATGACTTTACCTGAGATACAATGGATGCTCCTCCTCACCACCTTCATTATAATGCTCTTAATCTTACTTAATATAGATTTTAGATGCCACCACAAATACCATGAACATAGAACAACAAAAGAAAGCTATCACCACCAGGAACTAAAACAAAGGATGATCCACCACTACATGGAACTTTCTGCTATGGGCTCCTAGATAGGCCTCCTCTGGAGGAACCCTGACTGCTGCTTTATAACTCCGCCCATCCTGTCAACTGGAAGCAGCAATGACCAATCCCCTCCTGAGAACAGGTAATGAAGAAAGTAGGAGTTAGGTAGTTCCCTTGTTAGGTAGACAGTGAGGGAAGAAGAGCCCTGGATAATGTTAGATTGGCATATCCTAAAATGGATGTTGGATATCATAGAGGAGGGGCCACAGTCAAAAATTAACTTTTCTATTCCAGTATGCCTCACATCAGAGAACAGGTACTTGTGAAGACATGTGCAGAGAGTATAAGGTACATGGACAATGTCTCAATACCTTGTGGATCCAGAGCCCCAACTAATGGAAGTCCATCACCCAATTCCTGAGCTGAAAACCATCGTGTGTTGTCAGAGACTTCCAGCCAAACTGGTAATGGAGGTGCTAATTGACTCAATACAAAAGAGCAAGCACTACCAAAGATAGCCTGCAGACTCCAGACTCCAGGACCTCTCCTTTTGAAGAGTCTGTTCTCACCTGCTACTTTTGCTTTGATTAAAACATTAGCTCTGCTACACTTTGAATCCTTTACCACCTTTCAATTATTTAATTGGTGAAAGAACAACTCTACTGCTACAACCATAATAAGGCGTGTGGTGCTTCTACACACTGAACCCATCCCTCTAGCCCTTATTATCACCACCATTATTATTGTATTTATGCTGTATTGAAATTGTCTTATTTATCCATTTTTCCATGATCATCCTCCTTTCATGCCATCTCCACAAGGTCAGGGACCTTTTTTATTTGGCATTGTAACTCCAATGTCTAGAATGCCATATATACTAGGAAGTACTCCTGGGAAGCCAGATCACCAAGCAACAGGAGGAAAGGATATTTACTGAATAAATGTAACCTTTCCAAACCTTCCCCTAGACTTCTGTTGAAGTTTTTCTCCCCAACCTTAATGTAAATAGATACACGATGACTCTCTCCTTGCCTTGTTTGCCTTTCCCTGTGACAGTGTACCATGAAGAGCAGAAAGAGCAGCTAACACTGGAAATGAAACTGAAACAATATACACTAATAACACAGGTGAATTAGCAAATTTAATGCAGATACTAACAGCTTTCAAAATAATCCATCCCAAAGCGTCACAAATTACTTTAAGTCCTAGTCTTTTGAATCAAAGAATACACATAGATAATCTTAAGGAAATAGAATCACTACTTGAAATCATTTTGAAATACCCCCGAGACCTCACTTTTCAAAGCAGGAAAAAAGAGTTAAAGGTGGTAGATAGGGCCGGGCAGCGGTGGTTCATGCCTTTAATCCCAGCTCTCGGGAGGCAGAGCCAGGTAGATCTTTGTGAGTTCGAGCTCAGCCTGATCTACAGAGCGAGATCCAGGAAAAGCACCAAAACTACACAGAGAAACCCTGTCTCAAAAAAAACAAACAAAACAACAACAACAAAAAGATGGTAGATAGGTTGGTACACTGTGTGTTTTTCTGGTACTTTTAGTTTTTAAGTAACAAAACTAAGATTTTCAGATCTTGCTGGGGAGGCACCTCAGTGGTACAGCATTTACCCTAGCATGCTCAAGGCCCTAAGTTCAATTCTTAGCACAAAAATTAGCATAAAAATTTTCATATTGTGACTAGCTCTAATAAATAGAATCTGCTATCTGCAATTTCTTCCAGTTCTAGCGATAATTTTCTATTACAATCTTTTTCTTTTCTTTTCTTCCTATTTTTCTTTATTCAGTTGCGGTGAATATAAAGTCAAGCCAGGCCCAGAAAGACAAGTGTTTTTTTGTTTTTGTTTTTGTTTTTTTTTTTTTTTGGTTTTTCGAGACAGGGTTTCTCTGTGCAGCTTTGCGCCTTTCCTGGAACTCACTTGGTAGCCCAGGCTGGCCTCGAACTCACAGAGATCCGCCTGGCTCTGCCTCCCGAGTGATTAAAGGCGTGCGCCGCCGCCGCCGCCGCCGCCGCCGCCGCTGCCACCACCACCCGGCAGACAAGTGTTATATGTTCTGTCTCATATGCAGTTCCTAACTTCAAACCTTCTGTGTATTTAACTTGAAATGTAAGTGGAAGCCAGAAAACTAGAAAGGTGTCTTTTGAAGGAAACACATTAATGGAAAGAAGACATGATCATAGGTGAAATGAAAGTAGAGAGGTGGAATAATGGGGGCACACAGGCTTCATCAGGGAGGGGCACACATATGGGAGTGCCAAGGAGCTAGAGAGGAAGGCTGACCCAAGTAAAGGGTACATGAAAACACATATGGAAGTCTACTATCTTACAACCAAGTTTTTAAAATTGGAGGGACAAAAGAATTATATGTGAAATAAAAGAAGAGGGGAATTACTGAGTGTTAAGGGGTCAGGTAGGGATGGAGGTAGGGTTAAAGAGAAAACAAGTTAACTAAAACTAAAGCTGTATGAAAAAGCCTTTTGGAAGCCTACTAGCTGGTTTGAAATTACAACTTAAAATTTTTTTAAATGGAAATACCCTGCATGGGTGGACCATGACACTCTTGGAATACATGGGTGTATTCTTAGAAGACATGGGATACTTTCTAGGAATTAATGGTCAGGGAGAGGACCTAGAGGCCTCCAAAACAACACAGGCTATGCTCATAGCCCCTGGTTACTCACTAAACTATTTGGCAAGATCCTAAAAACCCTCCTGCTGAAGACACAATACATTTTGACTGCAGGACATACAGAAAAAGCTCGGACCAACCAGGAAACTTCCTAATGCAGGCTAGCTTTCATAGAGCCACAGGTGCTATGTAGGCTTCTGAAAAAGAGACGACGTCAGTGCTAACCAGTTCTGGGCCTTGAATGATGCAGCACTGACCTACCAGGGAAGATAAGTCTGCTGGTTCAACAGTGGCATGGGATAACAGCTTCCTGGTTGGATTTGAGGCCTGTTCCACAAGAGGTAACTTCATGCCTAATACTTTAATCCTTATCAAAAGTCCATGACTCAGGAGTCATAGGCCTTAGGGTAGAGCCTGTCATTGTTATTTTGATAAATGATCTTGCTGTCAAAATGCTGTCTAAATATCTATGTTTATACCTATAAAACTGGGATGCATTCAGCTTTGACCAAAGTAGTTTCTTTTGGTAGTTGGCAGCAGTCAATGGAGAGAAACATAACTGGCCAAAGTGCTGAGAATAAGAGACTGAATGCCCAGCCCTATCACACACTCCCACACTCCAGGAACAAGGCAGAAAGAATGGAAGAGCCAGGTGATGATGGAGGGGTGCTGTGAAATTCTGTATTCTGGACATGATCAGTTAGGAACTCAAAGCACCTGTGGTTATAAAATTAAGCCAGACAAGAGTCCAGCATAGACAAGCTAGAGGATCTCCAGGCCCCACCTCTTACTGCTACTGGTAGTTAGGATTCTGGGGAGAGAATCATTCCTTTTGAGGATGTGGACAACAAGAAGATTCCATGCTTCAGTGGACAAACCAAACCCATGCCCATATAGGTACTACCAACTGGACTTAGCAGGTTTTGTTTTGTTTTTTTAAAGCACAAAGTTAGTTGGGGGACACATGAAGGAGAAGGGAGTTGTAAAGGGGGAATAATGTATATGATTGTATTTCAATATCTGAATGCATGAAATTCTCAAGAATATATAACATAAAAATAAAGCCAAACCCAAATGGCTTTTAAACTGTTAGAATCAGAAATAGCCCTTTTTATTGTTTATGTTTGTTTTTTTGAGACAGAGCTTTGCTCCATAGCCCAGGCTAGCCTCATATTTGTGATCCTCCTGCCGGCCTCCACAGTGCTGGAATTTATGGGTTCATGCTAGCATGCCTGGCTCAAAAATACTTATAATTATCACATCTCTCATCAGTCTGGCAATTCCAAGCCAAGGCTGCTTTATTATAATACACAACAGCGCACAGACATAAAAACAAATAAGAAAATACAGGACCCGACTATAAGCTATAACTTTGACAAAATGTAATTACTTGATGCTTTTCTTAAGGGCTTTTTCCAGTTTCTTCACCTGCTGTTTATAAAGTCTTAATTCATGTTCTGTGGGCCTGTAAAGAAGAAATCATGATAAATACATTAAATTTATTGAAAAGAATAAAAATATTTAGCAAACAAAAAATAAATCTTGTTGTGTTATCAATAAACATTAAAATTACTTTTAAATTAAATTTTATGTGTATAGGTGTTTTGCCTGCATCCATATACATGTGTGCCTTCTGTGGATGCCAGAAGGCAGCAATGGATCGCCAGGAACTGGAATCCAGATGGTTGTGACCTACCATGTGGGTTCTGGGAATCAAACCCTGTTCCTCTGGAAAATAGCCAATGCTCTTATCTCTTGAGCCATCTCCCCAGCCCCTTATGAAAATCCTTAATTCTTAGGTATTTACTAGGTAGGCATTTTGATTTATTCTGCATAATTTCATATTTAAAGTCTTTATTCACTTTTGTGCAAATATGTAACTTGTTTCTGGTGAATATATCATCCTCTGTAATGGCTGGCTCTGTCAGCTTGACACAAACCTAGACATATCTGGGAAGATGGAATCCTTTTTAAAAATAATTTATTTTTATTTGCATTGGTATTTATTTTGCTTACACGCATGTCTGTGTGAGGGTATCAGATCTTGGAGTTACAGACAGCTGTTAGCTGCCATGTGGGTGCTGGGAATTGAACCCGGGCATTAGCATGCTCCAAGTATGTCTCAAGAAGTGATCCTGTCTCAAAAAACAAGGTGGGCAGATCCCGAGGAATGACATCTGAGGCTGACCTCTAGTTTCCACATGCATGAGCACAGACATGCACACCCAACTGCACACACATTTGTACCCACACATATAAACACACAAACACAAGAAAACCCTGAATCTCCTCAAAGTTCTTACCCAGTTTTACCCTCAACATGGATTCCTATTTTCTCATTTCCTTTGCTTGCCTAAAGATTCCTATTCCTTTCATCATTTGCCATGAAATACAACTAACCAAAAGGAATACAGGATTGTCAAGTACTTGGGTTGAGTTTTTGAGGAAGAGGGCAAGAATGATTCCTCCAATATTCTACAAGGTAAAGAAAAATAGTTTCTCTCACCTGTTTTCCAGATCTTTTTGGAGGCTCAGCTTCTCACCTAACAGTGTGTCAATCTTGGATTTTGATTCCTTGAGTTGATTCTGTAATGACTGCAATGCAATTCACAGTAAAATAAGTAACTCTCCTAGGGGATTTATAAAATGCTTTATAAAAAGGTATTCATCAGTTCTCTGTCTCCATACCATCAGAAGGCTTTTATAACTTGGTGAGGCATCCAGGTTTCCGTAGTCTTTTTCTTCTGACTGACTGTCTTCTTCCTTACACTGCCTGTGGGAAGACAAACACATTGCATCTTATGGAAATATATCCTTAAAGAAAACAACAGCTAGCAAATATTAAGCCAATCTAGTAAGTTCTTAATAACTTAAACGTGAATTTAAAAACCCCAACTTCCTACTTGGTCTACAGCAAATAGTATCACAGCACAGCACTACCTAATCTTAAGAGTGCTCTGTTTACTCTTACTTAGAATGTGTGAGGACCAGAAAACTTTGTCATGGGACACAAAGGCGATGAAAAATACTTGTTTGAATGAACAAACAAAACACAAATAGAACACTCGAGGTCTAAAAAAAAAAAAATACACTATGCATATGGTTTATTCCTTCTAGTACTTTCAATTCATTAAAAAAAATTTCAAGAAAAAGTGTAGAGTGAAATTGGGTAACAATACACAGTGCACAGCACACCTCATCTACCCTGTGCTTCTTAGATTACTTAGCATTCCTAAATACACCTACTCTTCCTGCTAGTGTATTCATCTAACCAAAAAATCCTTTATCTTATCTGTTTTTGAAAACTGCAGTCTATATGCAAATCTTACCCGTTCCTCTACCGTTCACTACTCTCTCCTTTTGCCACATACACACTGTCCCACTTGCCTCACAATTATAGCACACACCACTATGCCTTACATTTACTTACATGAGTATTAATACACATCTTCCCAAGTATAGTATCAGGACAGGGTCTCACTCTAATTCAAGCCAGCTGGGGATGCACTATGTAGCCCAGGTTGGCTTCAAACTTGTGGCTATCCTGTTTCCTTTACTTCTTCAACGTTCCAACTATCTACAGGGAGCTAGGAATACAGGCATGAACTACCACACCCAGCTATATGCCAATTTTTCACTGACATTCTATCTTTGGTGTATTAAATTTGCATAACTAGGTTTTATTCTGCCAATGTACTATGTCTATATACTTTATGAATGTACTTACTATCCAGTGGCTAAATAACATAATGCTTCAACAAAATAAAAGGAAATAACACTTTTATTATTTACCAAAGCAGTAAAATACAGTCTTATAGAGCTTTATTAAAAGAATTTCAGCATGAAGATGTGAGGGGAAACCAAAATTTGTTGGGAAGAAATGGAGGGTAAATATTTCCAACATACACCATAGGCAAAAAAAAATTTAAAAATACAAAAATAAAACACTGTATGTGTGGTGGTTTGAAAGAAAATGGCCCACAAAGGGAGACATTGTTATGGCCTTGATGGAGTAGGTGTGACCTTATTGGAAGAAGTGTGTCAGTGTTAGGGTGGGCCTTTGAGTTCTCCTATGCTCAAAATACTCCCTGTGTCATAGCCTATTTCCTTTCCTGTTGCCTTCTGATCAGGGTGTAGCCAGCACCATGTCTCCCTGCCCACTGCCATGCTCCCCACCATGACGATAATGGACTGAACCTCTGACACTGTAAGTGAGCCACCCCAATTGAATGTTTTCCTTATAAGAGCTACTGCCATCACTATGTGCTCTTCACAGCATCACAAACCCTAAGACAGTATGCATATGTGAAATTCTTGGAGGATACAAAATATTACATTTAAAAAAGAATTTCATAATGATATACAGACTTCCAGAACATAATTTGTTCCTGGATAATATTCATCCTGAATTACTTTAAAATTATATTATTTATACCTTTGTGCATGGAATTTTCGAAGTTTAGATTCATAGTAATCAATTAGACAAAGCAATCTAAAAAACAAAAAACATGTTAAATTATTTTCAAAAGGTAGTATTAACTATTCTTTTATATAAATTCAAATTATAATCATAAAAGTAGGCACAGACTGGGAATAGAGAGATAGCTTAGCAGTTAAGAGAGCATACTCCAGGACTGGAGAGATTGCTCAATAGTTAAGAACAATGGCTGCTCTTTCAGAGGACCCATTTGATTTCTAGTACCTACATGGTAGCTTACAATCATGCATAACTCCATTCCAGGAGATCAAGCACTTTCTTATGGCCTCCACAGGGACCAGGCTCACATGTGGTACATACACATACATATAGGCAAAACACTCATACATAGAAAAATTTTTAAGATTTATTAGCCAGGTAGTGGTGGCACATGCCTTTACTCCCAGAACTTGGGAGGCAGAGGCAGATGGATCTGCATGAATCTGAGGCCAGCCTGGCCTACAGAGCAAGTTCCAGGACAGCAAAGGCTACAACAAAGAAACACTGTCTTGAAAAAAAAAATACTTATTTATGTGTGTATGTACAATTTGTATTCAAGTGCACATGGAGGCCAGAAGAGGGCATCTGATCCCCTGGAGCTAGACAGTTGTGAACCATCATTTGGGTGCTGAAAATAGAACCCAGGTTCTCTGCAAGAACAGTAAGCACTCCCAACCTCTGAGTCATCCCACCAGCCCTAAAACAAAATAAAATAAAATGAAATAAAGTGTATACTGCTCTTGCAGAGGACCCAAGTTCAGTTCCCAGCACCTTCTATAACTCCAGCTCCAGAGGCTTCTAGTCTCTGGCAATACTTGCACTCACAAGCACATAAACTCAAATAAATATAAACACATTAGTAAAAATAAAATCTTTTTAAAAAGTAAGTACAGATTGTCCGGCAAACTTAAAATTTTTTCAATCATTCTTGCCAGAAACAAGTGTTACACTAAGCCATATATATTAATTTATATTTAAATATGTCTCAATTTTTTAAATACATATTCTTGCTGCTCCAATAATCCTACCTCTGGCAATTTGCCACAGAAATATTTGCCCAAGGCTCAGTGGTTAAGGGTACTGGTTGCTCTTACACAGGACCTGGGTTTGATTCCCAGCACCCACATGGTAGCTCACACAACTGCCTGGAATTCTAGTTCCAGGGGACCCAACACCTTCTTCTGATCTCTGAAGTCTCCTGCATACATATGATGCACATACATATACTCAGGTGCTCTCACGCTCTTTCTCTCCCCTCTCCCATCTCCTTCTCTCTCTTACACACACAAACACACACACAAAAACAAAACTGATACATTTTTTTAATTTGTTTATTTGGGTTTTTTTTTTGTTGGTTTTTTTGTTTGTTTGTTTGTTTGTTGTTTTTTTTTTTGTTTTTTGTTTTTTTGAGACAGGGACTCACTATATGGCTCTGGCTAGCCTAGAACTCTAAGATCTAACTGCCTCTGCCTCTCAAGTGTTGAGATTAAAGGCATATGCCACCATACCCATTCATGGTTAATATTTTTAAAATATCTAAATTCATTCATTAAGGAGCTGGAAAGATGGTTCAGTGGTTAAGAGCACCGGTTGCTCTTTCAGAGGACACAGATTTGATTCTCAGCACCTACATGATGGCTCACAGCTGTCTGTAATTTCAGCTCCAGGGGTGTCTGACACCCTCTTCTGGCCACTGCAGATATGGCACCCTATCAGCACCAGGCACATATGTGGTGCACATACATACATGCAGGCACAACGCCCATACACATAAAATAAAATGTGCAGTTTAGGGCTAGAGAGATGGCTCAGTGGTTAAGAACACATACTGCTCTTCCTGAGTACCTGAGTTCAATTCCCAGCACCTACATCAGTTGGCTTACAGCTGCCTGTAACCCCAGCTCCGGAGATCTCACACCTCTGACCTCTGTGGGCACTTGCATTCATGCGCACATACTCCCCCTCCACCCCCCCCCCACACATATACACACATAATTAAAATAACAAAATATTTAAAATGAAAAAAAAATTAAATTTAGCTGGGCAGTGGTGGTGCATGCCTTTAATCTGAGCACATGGGAGGCAGAGGTAGGCAGAGCTCTGAGTTCCTGGCCAGCCTGTTCTACAGAATGAGTTCCAGGACAACCAGAACTATTACACAGAGAAATCCTGTCTTGAAAAACCGAATAAATAAATTCCTCAAAATACTCTAAGAAAAAATTACATTTATACACACACACATACGCATACATACACATACATACACATACACATACACACACACACACACACACACACACACACATGAACTGGAAAAAAATCAAAAGAAAAGGAGACTTCTCTAGCAAAAGATAAAGGAACTGACAAGATAAAATCAGCTGAAAAATAATCAACCTAGTTCTATTATCATCCTATGTACTGGGCATTACTGTTTATCCAAGACTGTGTGAGGAACTCTCTTGCAGAGATAGGCAAACACTCTGTTTTGAGTGATAACACGCTCTTCTTCCTCTTTGGTGAATCTGTAGATATCCTTCTGCAAAGAAGCAATGGTCTCTTCTTGCTCCATTCGTTTTTTCTTATAGTGCTGGCATTTCATCTGTAAGCAAATTGTAAATCCATAATTATATTTATACATGTAGGACGTACTGTTCTATTATTATCCATGTCACCATCTCCACTGAGTTGTTTCATTCAATAATCTCATCAAGGCTGTTTAAAAACTGATGCAAGAAATATTAATATGTCACAAATGTGAAAAACCTATAAAATGAAGAAACTATGACAACTATATGCATTCAAGACTTCATAATAAATAAAGATTTTAAGAATCTCTATAAAGTAATGTGATTTTCTATTTCAATGGTTTTATGAAACCAGGTTTCTACATAGCCCAGGCTGGCTTCCAGCTTGCAATCCTATTTTATCAGCCACCTAATTGTTGGAGTTATAGCGGTGGACTACTATGCCTACCTTATAATAAGTTGAGATAAAAATAATAATCAAGAGAATTGTATATTGTAAATATTTTAAAAGAACCATAAAACAGCTGGACGGTGGTGGTGCATGCCTTTAATCCCAGCACTCGGGAGGCAGAAGCAGGCAGATATCTGTGAGTTCAAGGACAGCCTGGTCTACAGACTGAGTTCCAGAACAGCCAGGACTATTACACAGAGAAACCCTGTCTCAAAAAACCAGAGAGAGAGAGAGAGAGAGAGAGAGAGAGAG